TACAGCATACTTGAAGGACTGAGAAGATTAAAACAGGAGATGAAAATAAATGAATAGGCAGCACAGAAAAAGAGAGGGAAGATGAAAAGAAACATGGGTAGGAAGGAATTTGTAAGGGAAGAAAATTTATGTAGCTGTGGGGGCAGGAGCAGAACACTGTATAGCCCAGAATGCTGCTGTTCCCTGGGAGGTTTCTGCTGAGATCTTGACATTAGTGCCTGCAAAAAACAAAGGAGGGAGAGAGAAGCCTGATTGCAAGGTTGCAATAATCAAACCATTCATTTCTGTCTTGAAAATGATGAGAAAAAAAGTAATTGAATGTATTGTACTTTTTGAAAAAAAGCTGATTTTGAAATGAAGGGAAACCTTCAGAAAACATTGCCAGTTAAATAGTATGGTGAATGACAAAGGCTGCAGAGCAATATACTTGGTATTATAAAGTAACTGTACTTGAAAATAACTTTATAATTGAATAAGGGTACATTAAGAAAATATGATTCAGAACCAATATTATAGTAATTAGATAAAGGAAGCATAAATGAAATAACTGCAGGAAGAGTATTTCCATAGAGATTATAAATGAGATTTTGGTGGAGCAGAAAGGCCTTTAATTGTAATTTAGTGTGCACTACAGAATTATCAGCACAGTGTGTTAGTTCATCGTATAAAAGAATATCTGATAATTTCCCCTAATAAGCACATGACAGTTCTTCATATTCTTTCATTACAGCTGATTAGGTATAAAAACAGTATTCTTTTGTTGGACTCTTGTTCAGATCTTTTATGAAAAGGCAAGACACTGTAACCCTGTTTCTATACTGCTGTCCTGCAGACATGGTATTTAAAGAGGCCAAAGTGGTACTTGAGTAAGTTTTTAAATCTCTATTTCATTGTTTAGCTTTTAAGATAGTTTAAATTCAGTTGTTCTATTTCTTGAAAACATTAAATTACAGCATAACTGCGTGTAAGCAAAAAGAAAACTAACCCAGCAGACAGCCTAGCTAGGTTGCCTGACCTTTGCAAAGCCCAGCCACTTTGTTGGGCTTTTCCCTACCTTTCCCTCTCCTAATAATTTTCAGCCAAAAATTATTATTTATGGTTTTGTATTGTTGTGGTGCCTGAAGGCTTCTGCTGAGCTTCTGACCCAGCTATGACATTGTGACAAATTGCACCACCACCCCACCGCCCCAAGCTTAAGTGCAAATTCAGAAAATAAATAAGGCCCCATAATTGGAACTAATGAGATGCTTAAATCATGTTATTCTCCAAATGCTAGCTTAGCCTGAAAGTCTCTGTGTCAGGAGCAGTGAAAATGTACATTTCAGGAGTTCATACATTACCAGGTGACCCACAAAGGACAGCAGAAATTACCTGGGCTCCCCAGCATCCTTCAGACATCTTTGGTTAAAGAATCCCCTTATGTTTAGAAGTGTGGGAAACCTTGGTACAAGGCATTCCTCAGTCTGCAAGTGCTCAATACATCTTCCTCCTACTGCCTTGTAGGTGACCAACTTGGAAACAACTTGTTCAGCATCAGCTTGGGAAGCTGCATGGTGGGCTGTTGCCTGCTGAATTACATGTTAGCGATTGCTGGCACTTGTATGCAGCGGCTGTTGTGACTTCAGGTCCCTGCTTCCAGGACTGTTGTGCATTCCACTATCACTGGGTAAAGTGTAAAAGATGGCCTTAGAACTGGGGTCAGGACCTGGGATTCCCAGGTGACTGCTCTAATGAGAACCTCATGTTCTCTGCAGTGCTCTTCTGGGGTCACAAAATTTCACAGCTGTCAGGCAGATAAGAGGTGTGGTCACCTCTTAGCACATTAACTTCACAGGGTTAATGTAGGTTCCATATTAGCACAATCTGACACAGTGCACAAGCCATCCAAGAGCCTGTGCTTGCTCTCATGGTGTCTCGGCTTTAGTAAGAGATGAAAGGAGAGCCAGTCACTGTGACAGGCTGTCATCAGGGATCTGAGGCCTTTTTGGGACGCAGGTGACGCAAGCTTGACCTTCTTCCTGCAGGACTTTTCTACCTGAGTGAGGAGCCATTAGGGAGACCTGCTGTCTCCTTCTTTAACAGTACTTAAAATGAGACACGTGAGTGAACTTGTTTTCTCTAGAGCAAATGCTCAACTTTATGTTCCTCCATTTCTAATAGAGGTGCTTAATTTGGTCCTGTAGGGCTGCCCCTAAATATGTCTTTACGCCACCTTTAAGATGTGTTCCTCACTGGCATTTCATTGACCCTCCTGTTCCAAGACCGCCAGCTCCTCCCCCCCGGGGTAGGGACAGCACAGGAGCTTAACACAGGACTAGGCCCTCCAGTACACGTGGCAGGCAACCAGTAACCATTACAGTACCCAGCTCTTGCACACTAAAGAGCAATGACAAGCAAATACTAGGAAGGGAAAACGCTGCTGTTGCCATTTTGCAGACAAGAACCTGTGATACAACAAAATTCAAGCACAGCTTGTAAATCTCTTAGATCTGTGAGCAGTCACATGGAGGTATCTCCTATTTTGCATAAATAATGCTAGGATCAGTTTTGCTTCTTTTACAGATTTCTCCCAGCCTGCAGAGAAGGCCAGGAAAGAGGCTGCCTTGCCTTAGAGGGCTCCCTTGCAGCACTGTCACTCATGTTCAAAGGTCCCACCAGGCAGGGATGGGGCTTAGGGAGGCAGAGGGCTAGGCACCTAGGATGAAGGGTTCCCAGGCTGGCCAAAGGACAGGCATAGCTGCAGCTGAGTCTCCTGCCAGCAATCACAGTGAGTGGCTGGGAGCTTCTAGAAACCAAATCATGGACCAGGTGGGAGGAAAGATGGTTAGACCAACCACTTGGGGCCAGATCTCGCTCCAGCAGACAGGCTCCTCTCTGTCCTGTGAGAGGCAGCATTTTAAGTAGCTCTCTTCATCCCTTGTGATGCGTCTTCCTGAGCACTTAGTGTGTAAGCTTCATTAGGTGATTATAGATGGGTATAGATTACTAGCAGAAGAATATAAATACAGGACATGAAGTTTCAGTCACTTAAGGTAAACCTACCAAAAGGTCAGCTAAATATTAACATTGCTGTGCCCAAAATTAATTACAGCAAGGGCAGTTTCTGCATAGATTAGTCCACTGATAGAAGACGCTAGCAAAATCATTAAAAGATGAATGAGCGAAGTAGTCTTGGTTGCCCAATTTTCATAACCTTTCACAAGAATGAAAAAAATGCCCAGAAATTGCTTTAGATATCTCAAGAATTATTTGTCAGTCTAGAACCTTAATTATGTTTTTACTTTCAGGAAGATATCCAACACTTGGCTTAGCACGGGCTGGTTCACAATGACTATCGCATTAGAGCTCTGTGACAGGATAAATGTTTATGGCATGGTGCCACCGGATTTCTGCAGGTAGGATTTATTTTGGAACCATTATTAGCCAACAAGGTTGAACATTAGAGATAAATATCTGAATCCTTTAATTTTTTTCTCTCTGCAACATGTCTTCAGTCCTCTTAAAGCAATTAATTAACATGTCCCAAGATCTGATTCTGAAAACAACAAACAGCATTTAATTATGTTATATAAAATATTTAAAAAATTTGTTTGTAGTGTGGGAGAATTAATCCATCTTGTTGGTTTCTTTTAGTCTCTGAATATTTATCAGCTAAAAGTAATGCAATAATTGGCATGAAATTAATCTGAAAAAAAGCAATACTAGAAAACATTACTTTTAATTTGTTTTTAAAGTTTCCCCCCAGTTAATAGAGCAACAGAGTTCTCACAGTGACTAGTTTCTAAATTGAACTTACTACACAACTCTAAGGTGGTTGTATCTCTGTCACATGAACCCCAATCTTCCAGTAAACTAGCTTCCTAAATAATCCCCACCAAAAAAAACCCAAACAATTTGGACCCACAGAATAGATGATCAGTCCTGTAATCACCCATTTTGGCCATTCGGGGTGTGGGCCATACGTGGTAGAAGCAGCACACAAATTCTGTCAGTGGAAGCTACGTGACCCCTTCACACTGTTTTATGAAGTAACAGCGCGTGTACATTTTACAGCTATGTTGTGTCTCTAGCCATATTCAGGACTCGGGCTCAAGGTACTGGTTAATGTTTCCTACTGCGGATCAGTGATAGAGGGAAATAGTCTTCAGGACTTCTGGTACTGGACCAAAATGACATAAGCCACATGATGCACAGCACTGATTCACTGTAAATTCACACAAACTGGTTTTACATCAGCAATCTTTATGCTGACTTCAGTATCACCTGTTCATCTGTTACTAGGCCTAGCACTCTGGCCCTTCAGAAGAGCGTGGTTATGTGCCCACACATAGTCCTGATCCCATTTGCACTGTTAGGTCACCCAGCAACGCACAGAGCTGGCATGGCCAGCCTGGACCGATGGCATCAGCGTAACGTTTCATCACCTGCTCATGAATCCCTTTCACTGAGAATTACTTGCTTGAATTTTCTGTTGCAAATTTAGCGATCTCACTGAAGTCTGGTTCATTGACTAATTCAAGATGCCTTTTGGGGGCAAGGGGAGCAAGGCTGCAGTGACGGGTTAGCTCATCTATCAAAGAACAGGACTGCTTTGACTTTCTTCTGAGCACTGGAAAAGATCATTTGGGAATGTGAGTTTGTCCTGGGCACACAGTAGAAATCCCTGAAGAAATTACAATATAAAATGTCAACATTAAATTCCACTTTGTAAGAATATCTACAAATTATAACAAAACATTGATGATAAATGCTGTGATGTACTGCAGATTTCATCACGAATTCACCAAGGAAAACAACAAACTAGATCAGATATTCCAGACAACATAAATACCTTCCACAGCACAGCATTTCAGTTCCCCTGTCATTTCAGTTGGCCAAGACACACTTCAGTTTCCGTAAGTGCTGGTCTGTCTTACTGCAGAAGTGGCTGTGTTCCAGCGGAGTTACATGGAAGTAATTCTTAAATAAACTAATGATCTAAAAATGCAGAAGACAGCAATTCACTGTAAACCAATGCTCAATCCTAACTTTTCAGGCAAAGTCAGATTACTTTACATACATATACTTAATTTAAAAAAACACCACCACAACTGTTTTTAAGGGAGGTTAAAATTGTCACTGAGACCATATGAAAATCTTTCATAGAATTGATACACTGAAATCAAAAGGCTATAATATTAAAATATAACACAAGAAAGGCTGTAATCAATCCTACCATTGATAGATGTAATAATGCTTACAGCCTGCATAAAAAAGTCTTAACATAATGGTACATGGTTGTAAAAACGGAAAAGGTCATTTCTTAATCAAAAGAATATAAAGTGTCTTTACTTCAGGTTCATTCCCCAGATGATGAAGGGGAAAACTGTAGTTGCCCTGCCTGGAAGAAGCTATCCATGAAGATCTGTGAAAGGAATCTCTTGCCATAAATACAGTTAACTGTCTTAGTTTGCTCTTCAGCCACTCCTTAAGAAGTTAAACAGTGCTTCCTTTCAAAGACAACAAAATAGCAGAAATAAAGAAATATTCTCTGTTAGCCACAGTTCAGTTAGACAAAATACAAATTACCATTTAAAAAAGAAAAACCAAAAACCAAAGCAACAAAAAACCCTACCCTACCTCTCTCCTGTGTGTGAGATGGTATAGGTACTTCAGTTGCTGTGCAACTAAAGAATCATAAAGATTAAAAAAAAACCCAAACCCTCTTATTTTTATTCAGAGTTAATATTACCAAATTTACAACTTTAGCAGATATCCATTATTTTTTAAGTGTTAATTTGTGGAGTAAGTAATGAGTGTGGGTCATCACTGTCATGGAACTAAATTAGTATCACATCTGTAACGTGAAGGACATCTCAAAGGTATTGTGAATATCATACTGTTGGTTCTGCTACAAATTATTATCTGAAGATCATTAACCAAATTGCTTCTCACCCATGCAGGAAAAAATAGTCTAGTGAAGGAGTCTGGAGTACAGACTAAAAGATTTGTCACTATTAATTGCAACAACGTGTTTTAGATTAATTTCTATTTATTTTCACTGGACATCATTGTTTACAGCTGAACTGGAATTGGTGACCCGATTATTATAAATTTCTAGTACTTTACAGCAAAGCTGTATGTAATATCAAATCCCTTTGCTTTGCTACAGATTTATGCTGTAGTAAAGGGTTAATGGCTTTGATTTTGCTCTCATGCTGTTAAATACATCTGACTTTCACATTCTAGAATAAGATGAAAGCTTGTGCTTCCATGCAGGTTGAAAAGATTTCGGAGTGTGTGTACCTCTCACTCCTTTCTCACAAGAAAGACAAGCCATCTTGCTGTATTCTTCCCACTGCCCAGGGATCCAGTGCTAGCCTTTGCTGGTGCTAGCACCCCAGATGGGAAGCATTTCCCTCTCTGAGTTCCCTTTGGCAGCCTGTCGTATGCACAGGACTGACTCCTGAGCTGGGACATCAAGGATTTTTCTTTTGCCTCCCTACATCAGCAGCCAGATTGTGGTGCACAGACAGAACCGCAATTCCTGAAGGTACCACAGTGCTGCTGCTTTTCTTTGTGGCTGCTCAGCAGCATCAGTGGGAAGGACACAGACAAGCCTTAACGCAGTTTGCAGTAACCCCAATCCCTGTCCACGGGAGTATCGGCAGCAGTGAGAGGTTGGTTCCTCGCAGGTGTCTCTGGGTACTCATGTACACAAGGAAAACTGAGGGTGTTAGTGAGAAGAGCCCTTTTTAACCCCCCTCGTCTTCATGGGCCTTCTGGAACTCTCAGAAACTTAAAGCTTAATTCTGAGCCTTATTTTTAACTAATATGAATAATTTTTGCTTCAATTATGAAGCTAGATCATTTTCCTATAAGAATCCTCACTTGACTGCCAGGCCATTTCCCATCTGTGATAATTTGCCTGAAAATTGGCATTTGAAATCCTTTAATTTATTCCTTTGGGTACGGCTTTTAAATCTAGTGTTTTCTTACCTCCCTCTCTCCACTTTCAATTGCTTTAAATCAAGTGCAGAGAAGCAGTTGTTGCTAGCTACATTTCCTGGAGCTTATACAGGGCTTGATGGAAGATGATGTGCTCACAGGATTGTAAACTGTATACGAGATAGTCATGCCCTTTGGTCCACACGCCTGGGTCTCACCTCGTTATCTTAACAGCTTAATAACAAAAATGCATAAATGGTTTGGAAAACAGGGGTAGTCTGGAGGTCAAGTAAGTGGAATCCTGGGAACAGAAGGCAAAAAATTATCCAGAAGTCTTCATAGTCCTGGCACAGCACCTTGCCCATCACTCAACATGTTAATGACACTTTATTCACCTTTCAAAATATGAGTTATTTTACAAAGCATGTGAGTACATATAGCTTTAGTGGGTTGATTTATAACAGCTCTTCATTGGTAAAGGAAGAGGTTGACCAGAATGTGATAGGGGATGGCCTTGTCTTTTCGGCCTTGTTTCTTCTGAGGCAAACACTGTGTGCTGTATTTTCAGCTTTCACCGTGGGTAGATACCATCTGTGGGAAAATGTGCACTGAAGTGGCAAACAGTAGATGACTGACACTGGGTACAAGCACTTACACGGTTGCTGTGCTGGCAGGCTATTAGGCAGGAAGTGCAGTGTCTATTTTACAGGGGAACTTTCCTAGATTCCTCCCAGCTGTGATATTAATATGCATGCAAAGTCTGACAAAATACTGATTAATGTCCAGTATCAGTCGGTGATAAAACAGCATCTGTTTTAATGTTAATAAATGAGGTGGCAAGCAATTTCCGCATAGAAATTACTCATGCATTTCATTTGCTGGTGACATGAGCTAATTGCAGAGTTAGAAGATAACACAGTACAGTTAATTTGGGTTATGGTGTAGTTACTCAAGTCAGAGTTCAAATCCATACCTTACTGGCGTGCAATCTAGGGGAATCCAGAACTCCTGGAAAAGGAGAAAGACTTCAGATGAAACGTCCTAGGTACCTAACTGCCTTTCAGAGTTCCTAAATCCAAAATATAAGATTTGGAGTTCAGCCTGAAAGCCTTAGTCAGCAGAGTAGTCTTGGAGAGATCTAAAGCCACCAGCCTTTTTATTTTTGCATTGAATTTACCTCCAGCTCAGCCAGTAGACCTACGTACAAGCCTTAACAGCACCCATCAGAGGATGCCTGAACCCAACAGGGTGCCCAGACTGTGTTCCTCTGCCTCTCTCACCTGCCAGGCCCTGGGCAGGAGGTGTTTCTGGACTGTTTCTGACAGGATGTTGCACAAAATACAGTGACCTGTTAGGGCATCCACTCTGGTTTTAGCTTCAGAGCCTTTGATGCAATGTGGAATCCCCATCTTCAAAAGAGAGATCTATTGCTAAAATATCCACTGGTAGAATACTGGTAGAATAATATAAGAGATAAAGCACTTACTGGGGAGGTACAGGCTTCAAGATGTTGCTTCAAAGAGGCAACAGAAGAGTGTAACCCTTGATAAATACTAATTTATCAGAGTGAGGGATAAGAAAGAGGACTACTATCAAGCCTTCTCTCCTTCCCCTCTCTGTCTGATCCACCTACCCCCTCTACCTCTCTACTTTGGGGGTTGTGTGAAGAGGGGGAAAGAAAAAAGAAAAAAAAAAAAAAAAAAGACCAGCGTTCCTGTAGATCCTCTGTGAGAAATCCGATTCCAGGTATCACTATCATCCATCGCCAACTTTGGCGTACAGCAAAGGCACAGTGATTAATTTCCTGCTTTTCGCTCTTCCAGTTCATGTTCTGCAAACCCAACTCAGCCTTCATAAAAAAGGGGTGGCGTCGGCTGGGGCAGCAGAGGGGGGATCTCAACCAAATCCCTCAGAGGATTCGGGGCCAGCAGCCTTGTAGGCTCACGTTGCAGTGCTGAGCCCTGAGCAGTTAACTTAGTTCCACTGTGACTGCATTTGTTCAAAGTCTGTTGGAGATACAATTTCAACTTTACTAATCCTACCTTTAAAGCAGTAAATACCCACCAAGCAATATAGGTTTACCCTCAAGAACACAAGAGCAAAATCCAGCTTCAGTGCAGAAAGGAAGAGCAGTCTAAATGAGGCAGAGGCCTACTTGTTTAGTAGTTCATAAGAAAAAAATAAATCACATTAAAATGTACCCTGTTAGATTTACAGTAACCATACAAATGATTCACTTAAGAGATTATCATAAGAGGTCCCATGTATCAAAAAAGTACGTGAAAAATTAATTGAAGGTTGAGATCTAATAGTTGTAGCTAAAAAAAGTATTAAATTTCTATATGAAGGGTATTTTTTACATTACAAATATGTTTTCTGTAGGTGAGGTATTGAAGGATTTCTTTTCACTCTCTTATGTATTCTGTTGAGAATACATACAGTAAATTTAAAATCCATCTTATTCTAGAAATGTAATTTTATTGTTATCCTGGTCTTGTAAGATTGATCACCATGTTGTGTTACCAGGAAGCTAGATTGATTGAATTAAAACGTTAATCTAAGGTTCAAATGGAAAGCAACAGCAATATCATACATTACCACTGCACATACAATATGGATAATGGTAAAACAAGAAAAATTAGAGAACTGCGTAGGTGACAAGAATTACACAGTAAAAATAATGACCAGGGCAGAATACTGACAGATTGTGGATGCATTCAATTGAAAGTGAGCTTAAATAGTAGCTCTTCAAAATGAAAATAATAAACTCTGTATTAGAGCTGACAGCCCTGAATCTGTGTGAGATTTCTTGCTCTGTACCAGGGTCCTGTTCGGCTCAGGCTTTAACACAGAGCAGCCCCAAGGCTTCACTAAGTAGTAGTACTGGGATTAACTTTTCTGCCACTGCAAAACAGTTTGTTAGTAGCAACTGTGGAGACAATTGGGCCATTCTGCCTGGGACAGCTATGTCTCTCTCTGAATTCGAGACAGAGACGGTTGTATGAGTTCTTGTCAGCCCAAAATGCCTGTGCCCAAAGTAAAAACATAACAGGTACAGTTTAACGTAGAGAATAAAACAAAAGGAGAATGTGTCACTCTGGCTTATTATAATACAAACGTGCCTTTTACAGAATGTAACATCAAAACATTGAGGTTAGAACTGCTAAAATGAACTTTATCCTAAATACTTAATTGGTTTTTGGCATATCCTGTGTGTCACCACACGAGTACTGCATCTCCTGCTGGTTAGTGCCGATGGGCTCACAAGGTCAGAAGGAGACTATGGGTGAACGGTTTTAATTTTTAGCTTAGATACATGAAAGTTGCCATTGTAAAATCAAAAAGAACTCATTTGTGCATCTGATGTTAGATTATAAACCCAGCAACAGCAGACTGTATCGCTGACCTGGCATGCAGATAGGCTTACTGAAGCCATGCACTCAGAACCTCACGCACCACGCTGGGAATGTTCAGCTAAGCTGATGTAACACAGATAACCACCTCCCCTCTATCTTCCCCTTCTCTTTCTTCCCCCGGTTCAGTAAATACCTCTGTAAGGCTTTTTACAAATCACAATCTAGATACAAATCTCTTTTAAGCAGTTTGCTGCAAATTTTATAGTAGTAACACAGCCCTGCAGCACTCTCCCTTGTTTTCAATTTAACTGGGAGGAGGGGATTAAAGGAGAGCAATAGAAAGAGCAAAGAAAACACCTTTGCCCCATTCTCATGTATTAAATATGCAAGAAAAATACAGCTACCTAGAAATTTGGTTTAACTGTGAGAAAAAGTAGGTTTGAGCCCATCAGCTTATTAAAGATAGCATCTTTTCAATCAGTAAAAAAGAACATCTCGGGCTTCCATCTATTTTCTTTCTTCCACAGGGATCCTAATCATCTTTCAGTTCCTTATCATTATTATGAACCTTTGGGACCCGATGAATGCACAATGTACATTTCACATGAGCGGGGACGAAAGGGCAGTCATCATCGTTTCATCACAGAGAAACGAGTGTTTGAGAACTGGGCACGGACATTCAATATTCACTTTTTCCAACCAGACTGGAAACCAGAACCACTCACTGTAAGTCACCCTGAGATTAAACCGGTTGTCTGAGGGATGAAGGCTCAAGACCGCAATCGCAGTCACCCTCTGTGTCAGCCTTCAGGGCGTTGGACCTTCTGGCAAGGCAACCTAGAGGAGAAGGGTAACAGGACCTGCAGCTGGTAACTGCAACAACAGTTGGGAAGTTACAATGACGGAGCAGAGTGTATCAAGAGTGCTTTCTGTCAAGCTGTGTATGACTCCAGTATATAGCCTTTTTTGGCCATCTGACTTCCTGTATATGTATGTGATTTGTGAAAAACAACTTGAGTATCATTAACGGGATGGTTAACTCATTATGGTTTTTTAAAGTACAATGCCAATGAATTTTCATAGTGAAAACTTACGGTATTTATTTAATCAAGGTTTTTATGCAACCTAGGCCAGTATTTTTCTAATTCACAGTTATGTGGTTGTTTATCTTTCATAATCTTTCAAATCCAAAATTAATATTGCTGATAGTTTGAAAGGCCTAGCTTTTTATTTATACAATTTGTTTGAAAAATATGATTCTATGTAGCATGTAATTAATATTTGATCTGGAAATGTTGCATTTCTTTTTAAAATTTTGGGCTCTGTTCCAGCCTAAAGCCTTTAACAGCAAGAACAGTCCCATGTGCAGATCTAGCTAACTTTACATTTTGACATCTCATGTTAATATGAAAACGGTAGTGAAAATTCTGTTTGATATTAATGTGCATTTGCTGCTGTGCTATCAAAGCTGCTGGTTTTTAATTAGGGGTGGGAGGAAGGAGGGCAAAGTTTATCCAAAAAAATCACTGGCTATAGCAGCGTGGCTTTTCGATGAAGAGACCAGGCTAAGGCTGGAGGGGTTGTGTTCTGTTTCACCTCTTGTAATCCTGCAAGAGGCTGAGGAAACGACTCTCCTGAGGCCACAGACTACACACCAGGCAACAGTGGCTTGAAACATCATGACCAAATTTCTGAAATCAACAAGTTACACTACCAGGTACTGCAACACCAGCCATACTAGCCAAAAAAAAAAAAAAAATTATGACACTACACCTGCTAAAATCTCTGCCTTCCACTGTTCCAAGATCATCGCCGGTCTCAGAACTCCTGGGTTGCACTGAAGTTGGGATGTGAACAGAGTTCCATGAGTACAAAATTGTCCCCTTGAAAAAAGCAAAGTTACACTTGGCAGTTTTTCATGAAGTACACGTGCATGGCAAGTCCCTGCAAACCAAGGGGTCGGACAATGCTAGTGCTGTATATGGAACCTCATATTGTGAATTACCGAGTTACATTTGGCTTGTGAATAAAGATTTCAGTTACAGTTTTATTTTTCCTTTTGCCTCACAAGTATTAAATGTGTAATTTCTTCGAAGTAATCAGTAGGTGTTACTATTGCATGAAACTTTATACCTCAGGTGACAAAAGGTGTGTCTCATTAGACAAATTCTAAAGCTAGAACAGCGATGTTACCTTAAAACATCTAAATCCAAGAAGCTGAACCTCAGAGGCGATATGTAGAACTGGGATCAAACTCACAATCATTTACACTCACGACTCGCAGTCTTCCTCTTTCCAAAACTGCACAGCAATAGCTGCAGCAGCCCTACTGATACCCTGATTCTGTGGGGACAAAGTGAGCTGCCCTGTCAGGGACAAAACAGCATTGCCCCTGCGTAACGCTGTGCGGACCTGAACCGCAGGCCAAGAGCTGCTCTCCTCGCTGCAGCCCTCCCCACTATAAAAGAGCAAGAAACTACAACCTGTTTTGCCTTAAAAGTTTTCTTCTGGTGTTCTTCCTGGTACGCACGACTTGACATACAAACTGAATGCAAAGCTCTGCTATTGCCAATTGCTTGTAACCTGTCCCTTGTCAGCTGGTGTTTAACTGTGCCTCTTTCACTGACTGTGTTTCATTCCTTCCACTTGATTGCACAACATTTTACAAAAAAAAGAATGGATTTTGAACTAATGGTAATTTTAACATCCCTTTCAGCATGTGTACTGGGGCGTGTATCCAGCATATATTGCTCAAATTGATGAACTCTGTCAAACTGATTTACAGATCATTTCTAATGTGACTGCAAAAATGATACAGATCACAGTAGGTCCTCTGATGCCATCATCCTTTTGTTATTTTATTAGATACAATAATAAAAATATCTTGTCATTCTAAATCAGAGCTCTTAGTTTTTCCATTAATCGAGGGCTGCAGGATATGTATGCTAAATGTTTAGTTATGTTATTGTTAGAACCAGACCATTTTAAAATAGATTACACTGATCTACTTTGAGTATTCAGTAGAAACATGGGAACTTGCCGGACTTCATTGTGCTCCACATGCTTGTTCCCGTCTGCGAGACTGGTTAAAACCAATTAGATCAGATGAAGCATTAAGAATGTGAAGAAGAAACATGGGAAAAACTGCTATTAGATCTCCTAACTTCTAACAGAGTGAAGCTAAGGATTGTAAATATTCCTTCTTCAGTTTCTGTTAGTAACAACTATGCATTCTTGTTACCCTTACACACATCCACTCTTTTAAAGAAAACAAACCCAAAACTCACTTTGGTCTCATCTTCCTGTGGAGTTTCAGCAAGTTCCCCCATCTAATTACAAGAAGTATGAAGCCATGTTTTCTAAGAGGAAGTCACACCTGTAAATATAAAACTCACTGCAAAAGGAATTTGATGACACCAAGGAGACAGCAAGTTTTAAATAGGATTGATCACACAGATTTATACGGAATATAAATCCAATCCAAAAAGCACAAGAGTGCAAAAAAAAAAGTAAATAATTTTTAAAGTGCTGCAATTTTAATTCACAAATTACTGATGTATTTTTCTATAAAAGCACAATTTTTGAACTACAGCATATCCTCCTGTAGTTCAGCCTGAAGTAAGGTTTTATGGCCTAGTTATAAAGCAAACAGATTTATGATAGAAAATGCTGTCAGACCAGAGATAAGTAGTACAAACTAGGCACCGTTGCCATTTTCTGGTTTATGCTGTCATCTTACACTCTTCACTGTAATTTGATTGATTCACGATCTTCAGTGCGCATCATTTCACATATTAAAAACTGTTGCAAAACAGTGTTTACAGACATCAGCAGTTTTAAGATCTATGTTACTTTAGTTCTGAACTCCTTGCGTACCTTATGCTCTTTTTATGCTTGGCTTCATCAGAGGAGCTATTTTTCATCTCGAAGAACCACACCTCTTACACCATGATACGTGCAACTGGAATTGAGGATTATAAAGAAAATATCTCTGCAACTAAGAACACAAAGCATGGCGATACATCCAGAGTGTTAAAGCACCTCAGAAAGACAGGTTGATACTGAATATTCCTGGGTAAGGAAGTGGAGGAAAGGGAAGGTTAAGAAACTAAGACCCAAGTTACAGCCTTGGCGCTAGATGTTAGAAGAGATTCAGGTCTGCTGACAGCCACTCCTGGCTCTAGCCAGTAGAACACACAATGGCACATATACATATGCACAAACAGGAGCATAAATTGATAAAACTCTGCAGGAGGTGCTTACCTGGGTCTTGTCCTGCAGTATTTCTCAGGCAAACTTCTTAGCAAACCAAGTGATTTTTACCTAAAATAGCTCTAAGGAGGCAAGGACACGATAATCTAAACATAGCTGGAAGAACACTGGGGGATGGGGCGAGGGTAATTGAAAGAGTAAGGAATAAAACGTGGTTTGAGCTATCCAGCTGTATTCCCCTTGAATATTAAGATCAAAGTCAGGCTGGAGCTGACAGTGGCTCACCAGCTCAACAGGCTGTCCTGCAGAAGTTTCTTTTCAATATTCTGCAAATCTATCACATGTGCCATAAAAACTCTTTGAAAAATTCATGATAATCCTTGTGTTGTCTGTCATTAAACACCAGACCGAGCTACAGAAACCACTCAGCTGATGACCAACGTACAGTGTCCTTGTTCACTCTGGAGTACTTTGACGAGGAGTCGTCTTCAGAAATCAAGACGACAGAAAGACAGGGAACTACAGACAAGCAATCCTAGCATGCTGTAGACAAATGGATGGAAAACTGTGACAAGGAACAGAATTAGCAGTCATAAAGAAGATACATCGGCTAAGATGTAATGCAGCTTTTGTAAGAAAAGCCACGCCTTGCAAATCTATTTAGAGCTCTTCAAAGTTCTCTGAAGCAAGTGGACAAGAAGATGCAGGTGATGAGTCCACTTGGAGTTCCACAACTAGTTTTGCAAAATCTCTGAAAAGACTGCCAAAGCAGCTACAGTCCCACAGGATGAGAGAGAAGATCCTCACCTACGGAACCCACCTGAACATAGGAAATAAAGGCTAAGAGGATGCATCATCAGCTTAATGTTACAAGCAGAATTACACAGGAAAGCGTCTCAATATATTTTCCCTGCTTTTCTGTACTCTTCCCTTGGCATCTACCATGGGTCATTCCTAGACACAGGATACTCTAAATAAATAGTATTTTTTTTATACTGTCTCCAATGAACATCAACTTGTACACTAAAGCCCAGTTACAGTCTTGCCATACTCGCAGTGCACCAGGCAGCCACAAGCTCTAACACCGTAACTGCATTCTCATTTTACTGAAAGCAATGTCAAAGCATCTAGCTCAGGTGGAGAGCAAGACTGGGCTCTTTTCAACATCCAAAGAAAGTTATTTTAATAACTTGGTTTCTCAGAAGAGGTTTATGGCTTTAGGAGATGCCTAGTGATATTTAAATCTGTCAGCTTCTTTACACAACCCAGACAACACTTAAGATAACATCAGACACTTTTAGGACACCAGATACTTCCTGAAGTACAGAGAAGACAAACGGAATAATGCATATTTAGCAAGGTATAAAGTTTCAGGACTTTGCTGACTTCACTTTGGCTATCAGATCAGTTGGAGCCCATTAGTCAGGATCCAAACATACAACATTATACAAGTCTGTTAATAGCAAAATGAAGGAAATTCTGAAGGGAACTATTTGGTGTGGCTGAGTTTAAGGCAAAAGCTTAGGTTAGGTTTATGTTTTAGCAAAAAAAGGCAAAAGAAGTGAAGAGATTTATAACCTATGAGGATATGCTTCCCCCCATTGCATCCTTGCTGTAAGCAAGCTGCACACAAAGCCAAAATTGAAAGAGGTTACTAGTATTCAGTGGGACTGGTCATTTGTGTTGGACAAAATTGGACCATTTCCCACTACGGCATTATTTTTTTAATATGGCTATACGTCTGTAAATAAGCATTACATGAAACGCTGAAATGCTATTCCTCAACACTCCATTGCAAATTATATTGCAGAGAAAGAGCAGCTATACAGAAACGAGCAACAAAAGCAAGTGCACAAAACCTTCTATCCACACCAAAAAAATGCAAAGATGGGACTACTGCAGAGAAGGGTACATAAAAGAACTGTACAAGATACAAACATACATTGCAATGACCTACTGATGGCCCTATTTGCCATTCCACTTGCATTATAAAGACCAAGTGAGGTAAGGGAATCCTAAAATCATCACAGTTTGAGCCATAATATTTTGAGCTACAAACAACCTGGACAGAAAAACCAGTACAGAAAAAGTAACTTAACAAAATCCAGACAGCAGTATCTAATGCTTAGTGATGCTCTTCACTGGTAAATATCGGAGCATTTGACAAAGGAAGTAAGTACCATTATATTG